AACAAAATCATTTTAAATGCACATTTATTTGCCGGAGTTCAACATGGGAAATTCTACATTATCTTCAATGTTATGTTATCCACTTTTATTCTAATTGGCCATTCTATTTAACGTTATTTTATAGTTTGGCAGAAAGTAAGTTAAACTTGTATGTATATATTTCTAATACAAACGCGTTAGTTTCGTGCGAATTTCAAAAGATTAAAGATCTATAAGGGTAAGAGCTTTGTTATTTAACCAATTACATTAATACTTTAAGTTGAATGTTCAAATTTTTTCTCATAGTATCAGAGTCATGGTTATACAATGGTGGTCTTATTCTATAATTCTTACTAGGCAGAGCTTGTTACTTACAGTAAGCTAAAAACACACACACACATATATATATATACTAGATGTAGTCAAGCCCGTGCTAAAGCACGGACCAACAATGTGTTATGGTATCCTTTTGTTTGTTCTAATGTAAATAATGCACGTCATATTTTAGTTAGATACGAGGACACAAATCGTATTCATTATGTAGGATTTTGCATAGACAAAAAGCAATTCTCATTTCTCGTCCTCTTTCTTGATCACAAGGAGTATATAGAAACTATAAAGCCTAGGAAAGTATTGGTAACAAAGTAAGAACTTCTAATCTCAACCACAATTTACTTGATACAATAAGACATGCATCAACCAAGCTAGAAAATAAACTTTAAAGACTACCGGAAAGGCCCAAGGCCAAAAAACTCTCTCACCCTTTCTTGTGAAGCTTTGTTCCTCAATAAACGGATCAACTTGATAATATTGTCTCCTATTTTCTTGATCATTATCATACAATATCTATATTAAGGACATCTGAGAGCCCGTTTGGACATAAGAAAATTTTTCCTTTTTTCCAAAAAAAATTTATTTTTTTTGGAAATCATCGTTTGTTCATAAAATTTCCAATTTATGTATTTTGAAAATTTTAAAAAATTTGAAAAACTCCAAAAAGCTATTTTTCAAAATTTTCATTCAAATCACTCACAAAACTTCAAAAATAACCCAAAATTATATTCAATGTCCAAACACAACTCTAAATTTCAAATACCATTTTCACTTGAAAATTTTTTTCCCCCTATTTTGGAATTTTACAATTCTTATGTCCAAACGCCCACCTAGTGTTTGCAAAAAGGTACATTCTTTATCTTCCCTGAAAGAAATTTATTGCACACTCGACATGAGGTGATGGATTAGCTCTGAAGATTGATCACTTTACCCGCTTAAGTTCTCTTGTGATGAGCTTTTTTTTCGTTTTAACTCTTTGACGAATATATCAGAACCTGTCAATTACATGATGTAGCCAACCGTTTGATCATTAAAATATGACTACTGCAAATAGAGAAGCGTAACGTGCTGTACAATAAATTACTGTCGAGTAAGTATTTTGTAGAAAATTAAAATACAGTGTTAAGTCAAAAGCAGGTAAAAAGCTGCACAAACTAACTTGGATGAGTGACCTATCCAACTTCTCAAAGATAAGAGAAACACAAGAACCAAAAAGTTAAAACATACAGTATGACCTTTTTCACTATCTGCAAGAATATATGCAAAGTGAAAATTTGCAAGCATTGCTATGTTCTGCAGTTTTGAGTGCTCAAAATTAAAATTTTAAGTCGTAGATTCTATCGACCGGAAACACATAACTAAAATAGCAAATTTATTCGATTTTTACAAATGGCTTTACTTTGCTTCGATTCTCCATTTTCTTCTTGGCCTAGGGTTTTGCAGCTACGACTCTGTTACAGAAACAAACAGAGAACGAGACTAATACAATCTCTTTTTTAATTTTGTTAATACGGTTATTTTTGTTTCTTACTGTGTTGTTTCTTTTAGCTGACGCCTTAGTTTTGATTCATTCATCTTCTTTTTCACTCTATTCTTCTTTTTTCCAAATATTCATTTCTTGAAACGTTTTCCAAGATTTCCCATAAAATCTGATCCTTTTCTGAAATCAATCACTTTGTTTTCCACTATTTTTCCAACTGAATTTAAAGTTACAATCTTTTTAGTGAATTGCTATTTGGGTTTTTCTTTGCATACCTTTGTTCTTCCTCCCCTTTTTTCCCTTTGAACCCCCCTTCTATTTTTGCAGGCATTCACTACTGGATTAGAGCGTGTGGCGGACGTCAAAATCGGTTGGAGGCAGTAGGAAATTGACTAAGGTTACTACAAAAGCGCGGCCTTGTCATTTACGACGATTCACCCAGGTTTCGCACTAATCGGGAGTTGGTACCTCTTGTTCTTTGTTTAATATCTCTGTCTCCCTTGTTAGTATCCAATTAGTTTGCGTTAGTTTAAGCCTAATTCTTGATTGCCTATAATTATTTAGCGGTTACTGCGGCTAAGACTGCGACGTTTGGGCTTTTGATTTAGAATTTTTATTTCACACAATACCTGCACTTCCACAAGCGTTGAAGCCCTCAAACAGTCCAAGATAAATTGAATGTTGTTTGTCAAATGTCTAACCTGAAAAAAGAAACCATAAAGCAATCCCTATATAAAGATGAATTTTGTTATAGAAATTAAAAGCCTAATGTATAAGACTAAAGAGTTATGCTAGGAGTAACTAGTAAAGTCTACAAAGAATGAAGATGAAGCAACTGAAGAGTGTGGCTGAGAAAGAATAAGAGAATGAACTGAAGCCCTAGCATATGTATATACTTAAGGGTAAAGTCATAATTTTATTAATTCTTATTGGGTTATCGGTTAACCCATTAACAAAATTGTCAAACCGAGGCCCGAAGCGATAACTCAATAGTGAAAAAATTCTAAACCGTTACCGAACCGTTAACCCAATAACACGATACCGATAACTCAATAAACAATTAACGGTTCAGGTTATCGGTTTTACCCGATATATGCCCAGCCCTAGGTGAGAGAGAGGAAGGCCCGTGACCTGGATCAAGTTAAGTGTATCAAAGATGAGGAAGGTAGAGTTTTGATGGAAGAGGCTCAAATTAGACGAAGATGGCAGACATATTTCCATAAACTCCTGAACGAAGAGGGTGATAGGGACATTGTGCTGGGCGACTTGGAGCACTCCGAGATGCGTCGGGATTTCGGGTATTGTAGGCGCATAAGAGTAGAGGAGGTCAGGGGGCTATGCATAAGATGCACAAGCGGTAGAACTACCGGGCCAGATGAAATACCTGTGGAATTTTGGAAGAATGCGGGTAGGGCAGGTTTGGAGTGGCTCACCAGGCTGTTCAACGTCATTTTTAGGACGAAGAAGATGCCCGATGAATGGAGGTGAAGTACAATGATTCCTCTGTATAAAAACAATGAAGATATCCAAAATTGCAATAATTATAGGGGGATTAAGCTGCTAAGCCATACTATGAAAGTTTGGGAGATGGTGGTTGAAGTGAGGGTAAGGACCAGTGGGTCCATTTTTGAGAATCAGTTCGGTTTCATGCAGGGGCGTTCAATTATGGAGGCCATTCACATTGTGAGAAGATTGGTGGAGCGGTATAGGGAGATGAAGAAGGACTTGCACATGGTGTTCATTGATCTAGAGAAAACATATGACAAAGTTATGAGAGAGGTGATCTCGCGATGCTTTGAGGCTAAAGGGGTCCCAGTAGCCTATATTAGGGTGATTAAGGACATGTATGATGAAGTTAAATCTCGGGTTAGGACAGCTGGAGGAGACTCGGAACACTTTCCGATTATGATGGGGTTGTACAAGGGATCAACTCTTAGTCCATTCCTATTTTTCTTGGCGATGGACGCATTGACGAGACACATTTAAGGTGAGGTGCCATGGTGTATGTTATTTGCTGATGACATAATTTTAATTGACGAGACACAGGGTGGTGTTAACGAGAGGTTGTAGGTTTGGAGGCAGACCCTAGAATCTAAGGATTTCAAGTTGAGTAGGACCAAGACGGAATACATGGAGTGCAAGTTCAGCAACGGTACCCAGGAAGGGGATATGGAGGTGAGGCTTGATATGCAAGTCATCCCCAAGAGGTAGTTTCAAGTATCTTGGATCTATAATATAAGGTAACAAGGAGATTGATGAAGATGTCACGCATCGTATGGGAGCAGGATGGATGAAGTAGAGGCTCGCTTCCGATGTCTTGTGTGATAAGAATATGCCGCTGAGACTTAAAGGTAAGTTCTACAAGGTTGTAGTTAGACCAACTATATTGTATGGAGTAGAGTGTTGGCCAGTCAAGAACTCTCTTACCCAGAAGCTAAAAGTAGCAGAGATGAGTATGTTGAGGTGGATGTGTGGGCACACCCGGTTAGATACGAGTAGGAATGAAGTTATTCGGAAAAAAGTGAGAGTGACTCCTGTGGAGGATAAGATGCGGGAGGCAAGGTTGAGATGGTTCGGGCATATAAAGAGGAGAAGTATAGAAGCCCCAGTTAGAAGGTGCGAGCGGTTAGCCTCGGTGGGCAGCAGGAGGGGTAGAGGTAGGCCTAAGAAGTCTTGGGGAGAGGTTATTAGGCGAGACATGGCAGAGCTGGAGCTAACTGAAGACATGGCCCTAGACAAGAGGATGTGGAGGTCAAAGATTAGGGTAGAAGGTTCGTAGGTAGTCGAGCGTTTCTCTTTGTCTTGCTCAGTTCGCTAGCATTAGTGTTAGTATGATATCTTTTATTTATAAATGTCTATTACTACCTAGAGTTTGACTGAATTCTTGGATTCGATCTTATTTCATCTTACTGTTATTCCTACTTGTTAAAATTACCTTTTCTTTTTCAGTCGTTCTCTAGCCGAGAGTCTTATCGAAAACAACCTCTCTGCCCTTCCAGGGGTAGGAGTAAGGATGCGTACATCTTACCCTCCCCAGACCCCACTTGTGGAAAGCTACTGGGTATGTTGTTGTAGTTTCTATCGACTCTCCCATTTAGCAGTATCTTTGCAATTATTCTAACAGTATGATTTTCCGTAATACGCTAGCGGAATAAATATTTAAATATTATTTATGGTGTTAGTTTAGAATGTCATAAGTCCTTCTAAATCACAAAAGAGAATTTATTAGAAGAGGACATCATGTTGTACACTGCTAGATCTTTATAATAGATTGTGCAACTGATTATTGTTGGAGGACTCAAAGACCACGTGTAAAAATAGCTAGAACATGTCTTTTCAAAAGGATGCCACCCAAAAGCTAAGTATTTACCTTATACAGAGTAAGAAAGGTTACAAGATCTTTGCATTTGATAAGAGGTGTTAAATATTTACAGCTTTACCTGTAAAGGGATAATAGGTATCCATTTGAACCAAACTCATACGACAAAATTGCTATTGCATTCCTATGGCTACAAAGGATGGAAAGACAGAACACTTAATTCAGATTCTCACCGGTAAGAATAACAAAGAAGTACCAAAAATGGCTATCATTAATTTCTTTTTAGGGTAAAGTAACCTTTATCTGTATGAACACATGCAAAACAAGAACGAGATGGCTAGGACAGCATAACAAGGTATCTATGCAGGAGCGGAGCTAGAGAGCGAGTTACGGGTTCAGCCGAACCCAGTAGCTTTGGTTCAAACTCTGTATTTGTTTGATGAAATTCATTAAACATGTACAAATTATTAATTTAGAACCTAGTAACTTAAACATGATTAAAATCCCGAACCCATAGGCTTCAAATCCTGGCTCCGCCTCTGTATTTAAGGGCACCAATATGGCCAATGCTTCCTCGGCTATGGAGAAGAGTGAATTTAGTTGTATATTCATTATATACATGTTTAGTAACTTCATGACCTTTCTAATGCTACGATATAGCAGCGAAATAGCAATGTCTTTTCCAGACTCATAATGCAAAATCATCACTTGTGTATATCATTCATTAGTCGAGCACAATAATGGACTTTTTCCGGAGTAACCTAAAGCTCATATATTACTTGATTACACGTTGATGTCTCTTATGGTTTTTTAATGATATTCTCCATGTTCTTCATATTCCTACTGTATGCAAAATCTATACCATGCACAAGTTGCACCAAGCAAGACAGGCAATAGCTGTGATCCCGACCACTTCTATCCATGCCGAGCTTATGTGTATTAAGAGCCAGAGGACCATAGTTCTTGATTTAGTCTCAATGGTTGCCTTTTCTCAATATTCTTGCAACATGATTAACAGTACATATGGTAGAATCTCTTATCAACTAACAATTAGTTACAAATCCTTACCACTTCCCAATATGTTAAGGTTGGCGATCTAACTGTTGTGCCAATTAATATCAGATAGAGTTGCTGTAATAGAAGTCCCAATATTTTGCAAGCCTCCTCCCACAACAGGACTCAATCTTAAAACCAAGCCAGATACCTTATAATTTATGTATGTCAGCGTTCTGTTAACATTTCTTATATTCCTTGAAGATTATGGTCAACCTCACAATCCATAAGGGAGTCTAATGGCAGTAATCCTAAGGATTTTTGTACCATTTTTATTCCACTTTCTAGGCTTTCTAACCTTAGTCAGCCAGCAGTTCAAATATACATGGAAACAAATCGAGATATATTGAATAACTAAAAGTCATACTTCATTTTTCTTTTTTTTTTTGGGTAAGAAGGGAAACCCGCAGCCGCTACAACCTCTGCCCTTCGGGTGAGCACTACTTCATTTTTCTTGTTAACACAAAATTAGACAAAAGTAGCAATAGTGCAATAGAAAACACATGCAAGCAAATAGGGTACATTTCAACATGTTTCTTATACACAATACAAATATAACAAATATTATTCCCCAATTCTGTCAAGTAGAAGTATACTCCTATAATGTATGTTTTGCATTCCTGAATAATAGATGACATGTTATAGAAAAACTGATAAATAAATAAAAACTATTCGGTCATTTTAGGGATATCATCAAACAGGGTGCACGCAACATATGTTGCTTCATACTTTTCAATCTGAAATGGCCCATCAAACTCAAATATTCACAGTCACACTCCAAACAAGATCTAGCACCATGTGCTAGTTGCTTCCACAACTATTTTATAAAACTTATTTTTAATGGAACCTAAGCACATTAATTTCTTGATAATGTGTAGGTTCTTTTCCCAAGTGCTTTACCTTTTGATTGCAATACCAAGAAATGGGAACATACTTCATAACAAAGGAGGAAGGAAAAAGAAATTAAGTTTGGTTACCCCAAAACAATTCATATTTGTATCAACCAAATATCCAAAATCATGAATGTAGGTTTAATTTCCAAGCATGCATTTATAAATTAGCGATAACTACTGACATGAATTATCCAATAGAATAGAAAAACTAACATATACCGACCAAAGTCCCATTATAAGTAACCGAGGGAATTAAAACTGGATAATCCTCTATATCATGATTCATGTACCAGTTTTGTTAGCACTTAGCAAGTTTAGCAAATACCTGAAATATTCCCCTATTTCCCAAAAAGGAGCACAAGATCCTCCAGTATTAAAAAAGAATTGCTCATCGGCCTACGAAGTGAAAGTAAAATTAAACAATTTAACTTCAGAATTAAAATAATGAAAAAATGAAGCACAGTTAAAGAATATAAGCTGGAGGTTCTATGAACAGGAAAATATTATGCTTACCCTAGGATGAAAATCAATGTCGGAATCTCTATTTGAACCATTCGATCTGCATTGTCGGATTTTGAGGACACCCAAAACGCAAAGCTAAATTTTACAGAAACAAATACATAGACACATAATCAAATCAAGCATTAACACATAAAACGAAACGGGAAAACACGCAAATCAAGCAAATACAGAGAGACACAGATAAAGAAACAAAAGAGAACGAAAATCGTTTTTGGGAGGCAGAAATAGAGAAACTTTAAAAAAAGAGGAAGAAAATCTGAATTGGACTGAAGAAACAATTCGAGCAGTTATCATAATATATACTGCTTTTTGTACAGCTTTGTACTGCTGTGTTCGTACACCCCTTCACATTTTATATATATATANTACCTAATTATGCTAATTAAGTAGAAAAACCTAACGCAACCATTAAAATGTAAGGTTGTAACGATTGATGACATTATAATGGATTATTAAAGTTGCAAGGGTTGATGACATTATAAAGGGTCATTGAAATTGCATAAGTGCCTTTTGAATTGCAGAAAAGTCTTTCCTTATTAAACTGACATAGTAAAATGAGGATGAAGCGGAAAACAACAAGATGGAGTTTATAAGAATATTATGGTAAATCTGCAAGAATTAGTTTCATTGCTAGATTCTACCACAAGCTATTCCTTTCCTCACTATTACCATTCCTGAAATGATGCATTGTTTTCCGTCCTTTACTCACTTTTATGCGACTTTCTTTTGATTATTTTGCTTTTCAAGTTCTCTATGATTTGTGCTCTATATTCTCGATTTAGAACCTGAAGTTAAAAGCGTACAAACAATTCTTCAAGTTGCTCTTTGCATAGGATGTAGGGTTGGGAGTATGAAAAGATGATAGTGTAGGAGTACTATATCAATAATAGACATTCACCAAAAAAAATTGTGTACATAGAGTTTTATTTTATATCACATCTGATAAGATGGATAAGATCCCTTCACCCTTAACCAAAGGTTTCGAGTTTGAGCCTTGAATATGGAAAAAAATCTCGTTAAGGAGCGCTTCCCCCTTCAATGGGCCTTACCCAACGAGAATCTGAATATAATCGAGCTCCAATACGGGTACGAACACCGGGTAGATAAGACCCAACCAAAAAAAAAGTTTTATTTTACATTTTAGGAGTCACAATCATTTTCTTTGACAATAGACCTCTCCAAAAGAATTTATCGAATCATTTCAATCTATACTTTATTCATATTTTAGTTTATGTGCCTTTAATTTTTCTTTTTAAAATTATTAGTCCGATCGACATATAGCAAAGAAATTGTGTCAATAGAGTTCTGCTTTACTTCTTTTTGAGTTAAATAATCATTTTCCTTGACAACAGTTTATCCAAAAAATTAAATAAAATAAAATTACATCTTTATGTAATTTTAAATATATTGAACCCAAAAACTATGTATTTAAAACCTTTATTTCAAATGCTATGTTATTTTCCAACGTGGAGAAGTTAGGTATTTAGACATCTGCAACGCGGTTGGATTTTTGTCATTATTTTCATATTGAATATGGCTTGACCAAAACAAAAATTCAAGACGGAAACAACTCCTTATAAAAACAAAATTGTACGTTTTGAGTAGTAACTTTAACTATCCATCCTTTCTTCTCATTGGCGTTTGACTATTGTTTTTAGCTATCCTTCTAATGTATCCTAAGCTTCTTTATGTGAAACAAGTTTATAAAATAACTCTAATGAAGAATCGAAAAAACTTTGTTAATAGATGTATCAATTATTTTAATACTTTCATCTTATCTAAGTACCATTTTTTTTTTAATTTCAAAACTTATAAATATTTCATTGTTGAATTTGCATTGCCTTTAATTATCTAAGTCTCATTTGATTAAATGAAAAGAGAAGGAAATATCCTTGCAAGTTTAGTCACCCGAGGAAGATATCAAGCTCTAAGAGTTTATTGGAGAATCAGAAATCGAATAATTTTGAATAGTACCAGAGGTTTGTGAATCTTTGCCCTTAATTTTATGTTATGATTATCTAATTTTATTCAGTAGATAAGAATTACTAAAAATAATTATTGTTATACAATTCAACCTTTCATATCCACCGATGAGATTTGAATTCTACAATGTATAAATAAATATTACTTATATGTATATATGATGAAATTGAAGATATTGCGCCTGACATGTACCGTAAAATATAAAAATCGATGCTTAAATATTGTAGAAAAGAGCAATTAACCTTGAGAAGATAATGATACTAAGACACAATTGATATTGTTATTGCTGAAGAATATGGAGAAGATCATAAAGCTAATCAAACTATATCTCTTTCGACATTGTCTATGGGAGCAATCGATTTTAAAAAGCGAGATATATCGAAGTATAAGTGATACCATGATATCTAGAAGAATAGAAGTTAGAGATAGAGTTGATCGAGGAGAATAATTTTAACTTTAAATATAAAAGATCTTAAGGTTGTTGGGTTTTTAAGCTTATTTTAGCATAAAAGAGGGTGAATGGGAAAAATAAAAATTTGATTTTTCCTCCTTGACAAAGGGATATTGTCCCATATTGGAGGAGAAAAAGACTTTTGATGGGTATATATATAATTGCTCTTCTTCTAGCTCTTAAAGAGTTAAGAAGAAAACAAGCCTCGCGCCGTCTTCGGCTTTGGTCAAACGATTGATTGATTAATTTTTTGGACCAAATTTATTTGTCAATATCAAAGATTAATGTAATATTATTTAATCCAAATTATCCATTTTTGTAACGAAAAATTAATTTTTCTCCGCGTTTTGAATTCCCGTTTTATTTTGCGTAAATAGCCATTTATGTTATGGTCGTTTTACGTGAACAGTCATGACAGACCTTTTGAAGAGTTGCACCTCTTCGTTTAAACTCAACATGTTGGCTATAAATAACACACTATTCCCTCAGATTCTCCATACGAAAATAAATTCTCCTCTTCCTTTCTGCATTGTTTTAACTACAACAATGCAACAGTAAGTGTGATTTGTTGCTGCCATTTGTGTTCGTTGAAACACTGGGGTTTGAAGTACCGCTATACCAGTGTGTAATCCGTTCTATCTTGGGAGGAAATAATCCACAACCCCGGGTACTAGGAGGAGATTAAGTTCCTTAAGGATCCACTGTGAATTCAGTGGGCTCAGATTAATTTCTACTTCTTCTACATTTCTGTCTATACGTTATTTTCTTCTCCGAATTATTTTACAAATACAGTATAATAACAAAGGTTACATTATGCTAGCTTTTGCATTTAACTTTGTAATTTATAATTAAATCAAATATTTTTCAAATATATATGCATTAGTTATTTTTAGTATTTGATATATATATTCGATAAAAAATTAACATAATACACGTGCAACGCACGTGTAGAGAAACTAGCATATATATTACAAGTGAAGCTCTTAATCCTAAAGTGAAAGATTGTCTTTTGGGCACTTCTATTTTGAAAGTCAGTTATCTAAAGTTTAAACTTGAGAGTAAATAAAAAATACTATTATAATCTCATTATTTATATTAAATCAGTGGAATTAGAAAGGGTCATGTTCAAATCCTCTTTCTGTTTCTTTTGAAGTAGACGGTATGCCCTTTTCTATTCTTTAGTTTTTTCCTTTCAAGTCCCAATTCTTTTTTGCTTAAATTTTATATTATTTATCTGTTTAGCCTTGAAAATTGGTGTAATTATTTTGAAAAAGTTTTTGTGGGTTTTGCTAGTTATGAATGTCACTATATGTGGTACTTTATCTTTGTGCATATTTTTTCAAGTTTCAATTGTTTTGTTCGTAAATTTTATGTTACTCCTATTTTGTTTTGCCTTGAAATCTGTGAAATAGTGGGTGTGGTGTTGGACAATAGAGCAATCTCTCCCGCTTTATTTTTATTTATTTATGAATTAAACCTATTGGAGCAAAATCCCCTTTGTTGGAATAATAAGAAAAACGCTCCTGTTGAATCGCATTAGTAAAATGCTATTTATTGATTTATAACGACAAATATGATTTATAACTTACGTTTGACGAAGAGTCGCATTTGTCAAATACGATTATAAGGCGTATTTGTCGAATGCGATTTATATGGCGCATTTGTTGAATCGATTTATAAGTCTTTTTGTCGAATGTGATTATATCCCATTTATAGAATTCGATTTGCAATTCAGACTGAATGCGATTTATAAGTAGCAAATGCGATTTATAAGTCGTATTTGTGGATTGTGATGTATAAGTCGCATTTAGGAATTACGATTTATTAGTCGCATTTACGAAATACTGTTTTAGTTCGGTTTTCCAGCAAAGGGCATCTCCTAAATGGGACATGTAAATGGTGGTTTCAGTTCCCAACTCTACTTGAAAAACAAATAGCTTCCTCAAACATACACAAAAATCCAGTCCAGTTTTATTTTCTATTCATTCATTAAATGTATTAAGATTTTAAGAGTCATTTGGTCTTTACGATACTGAAGGACAGCTATATATGGTGAATTACGATCTCTTTTGTCCTCTAAACTTAGTGGTAAGAGTAGTGAGAAAGGAGCAAAGACACAACGTTTACTGTTAGGGGCCTAATTTTTAAACTTTTTAATTTTCATGCTATTTTTGGTAATATTATCTATGGAATTAGAATTTGTTATTTTATATATAATTTGACAACAAGTAACGTAGGATATATGTAATGATCCAACCGGTCATTTTAACTTTTAGAACCCCGTTCCTTAAAATAAAATTTTTCGTATGTGCTTTTAATGATTTATGACTTGCGGAGATGGTTAGTTCGGAATTTGGAAGTGTTTGGGTTGAAATCGGAACACTTGGTTCCTTAAGTTGGCCTTAAAAGGCCAAGTTTGACTTCGGTCAACATTTTGAGAAAATGACCCCGGAATAGAATTTTGACGATTCCAACAGCTCCGTATGGTGATTTTGGACTTAGGAGCGTGTTCAGAATTTCATTTGGAAGCCCGTAGTTAAATTAGGCTTGAAATGGCTAAAGTAGGAATTTAAGTTTGGAAGTTTGACCGGGGAGCTAACTTTTTGATAGCGGAGTCGGAATCCAGTTCTGAAAATTTTTATAGCTCCGTTATGTCATTTATGACTTGTGTGCAAAATTTGATATCAATCGGACTTGATTTGATAGGTTTCGACATCGAATGTAGAAGTTGGAAATTTTAAGTTTCGTTACGCTTGAATTGGAGCATAATTCGTGGTTTTAGCGCCGTCTTATGTAATTTGAGGTTTCAAATAATTTCGTATGATATTTTAGGACTTGTTGGTATATTTGGTTGAGGTCCCGAGGGCCTCGGGGTGAGTTTCAGATGGTTAACGGAT